TCTAGCTGGTTTCTCAATGGTTAGAGCCTTGGCCAGCAGACCTAAGGGTCACAGGTCTGATCCCTGGCTCAGGTCAGGGCACATGCAGGAGGCAACCAATTGATGTGTCTCACATTGATGTTTCTCTTTCCCCACCCCTCCTCTCTCTCAAAAAAAAAAAAAAAAAAAAAAAAAAAAAAAAAAAAAAATCATTGGAAAAATATCTTCAGGTGAGGATCAAAAAATAATAAAAATAAATAAATTTGTCCTGATTCAGGGTCACTACTTGCCCTGAACTTTTGTATAAATTAGAAGAAGAAAAGTGCACCTCAATACTTAACTTTCAACCTGTTGGAACAATCTATAGTAATAAAAGCATAGTATGCAAATTGACCAAACAGCTGAATAGCAGAATGACCATCTGGACAACCACGCTATGACATGCACTGGTGCCAGGCCAGCCAAGGTGGGTGTGATGCAATTGGTGGGGGGAGGGGGGTCCTGCCATTGCCCCATGATTGCCCTGCAGAGGGAGGCTCAGGCCACTGGCCGATGGAGCAACTAATCGGGGGGCTTCACGATCACCCCAAAGAGGGAGGCCCAGGCCACCCTCTGCAGGGCAATCGATCGGGGGTCTCTATGGAACCAGGGTGTGTGGTGGCAGATGGGGGCAGTGCCAGGCCAAGGCAAGTGCGGGCGGGGGGGCAGAGCCACAAAGGCGGGGCTGTGAAACCGGCAGCCAGGGGAAGAAAGGCCTACCCTTGCATGAATTTTGTGCATCGGGCCTCTAGTATCATAATCAATGTCAACATCTATCACACCTTTGATGTGATGGTGCCCCTAAAGTTGTATAGTGTAAAGCCATAGAAGGCAGCCTGGGAAATTGTCCCTGGTGCCTTTTTCCCGCTGCTCCAAAATACAGAGTCAACCAGGTGAAGTAAGACATGGACCTGAGGCCCAAAAGATTGAGTCAATTCTTCCATAAAACTTCATAACACATGGTGGTAACACCAAAGAGAGAGCTCTAACTTCCTGGCATTTATAACCAGGATAACCAGAATCCCTCTCAGTGATCCTCCAGAGCTGCCAACCCCCACTCAGCGGTGATGCCCCAACATGCCCTCGGGAGGATGACATCAATGTTACTTCTGCTCAGGGTGGAACCCTAGTTAGGGAAGCAGCCTTGTTCTGGTAAGAAATTTCATTTTCTGACATCGTATTCCCAACAATTGGCTGTACTTATGCACAAAAAGAGGGCAGTGATACCCACCTGCCTACCTCACACATTGAGAATTTCAAGAGATAATCTATATGGATATTTTGTCAACTACAAAGGGCTGTGACCAGATAAGATGTTACAAACCTTGAAATATAAAGATATTTAATAAAAGGCCAAAAAAGTAAAATCACTTATAATTAATGGAAGGAGGGTTTGGGCTGGGGCTTCTTCTAAGAAAGTGCCAGCATTGCCTTCTCTCCGTTCCTACTATTGCAGCAAGAATACACAATCTCCCAAAATAGCCTGCCTGCTGGCTAACCAGGTGACATGCATCCAATCCAAATGCATACCGGCTTCACGCAGGTACTCTCTGATAAGATACTTTAATTTCACACATCACCTTTCATCTAAGGATTTCTAAATATACTTTAGTCAATAATTAAGTCATGCAGCATCAAGTCAGCCTCCTGAATTTTAGAGAAGTTGCAGAATTTTAAGACTAAAGATCAATGACTACATGCAAGTGAAATATCATTGAAAGTTATTCCTGTTCTCAGGTATATGTGATCATTTTAACAATTTCTTTTTTTTTTTTTCTTTTTAAAGACAACTTACATGAACTGGATTGTGAACCAAGAACCTTGAAATGGTGAACAAACTATTACAGATCTGGGTCCAAGGTCTGGACCTTTGGCCCAGGCAAGCACTTGACCTTCCTGGGCTTTAGGCTGTGCACATGTAAAGGACATGAAGCCACTGACATTAGTGGTTAGAACATCTATTAGCAGTTAGATATGAACTGATTCTGACTAAAAGGAAGATTAAATAGGAGACACCTGCACTGCAATTCAAATGCATGTTGTTTCCACAAGCCTTTCATCTTCTGTATCTGGTCTTTGCCACCAAATTCCTCAACCTATTGATCTACAGTAATGAGACAGTGATTGATTGGTTCTAGCAAATGAAGACATAATCAGATCATTGTTTTGAATATCAAACACTTCACATAGAGTTTTCAGATACTCTGTCAACCTGATGTGATTACTAACATCCCTGAACCTCTTGAGTGATTATTACATTCAGGTAGTACTTATTTTTTCCCCAAGGCGCCTTCTGGCTTCATTAGATACTCCTAATACTTAAAAATCCCACAGACACAAGCAAACTGTCATATGACATCTTAAAGCCTCCTGCCTGCTGAATCTTCACAAATGTCCCTCATGCTTGGCTGCCCTTTGAAGTTAGCAGATAAAATTGCTTGATTAGATTTTTTTTACATGTCTCCCCTGACCCTTATGCCATATAGCTTTCAAAAGCCTCCCATTGGATTTGTACAGAAGAGGTGGAGCAATGAAAAAGAACAAGTCTGATGTGCTTTACAAATATAGCTCTTTGTTCCAAAGACATGGTGCTGCTGCTGTTAAAATATTGCTTTGAAGGAATTATTTCTATCCTAATCCCCAAGCAAAAGAGCACTGTTCTGCAGACACTCAGTTCCTTTCAACTATATGGGATACCTCTTCCTTAGAAACTGGGAGACGTAATCAATGATGTCCTGAGGGCCTCCTTTTATAAAATAACAATTATAATCCAAGAAAGTCTTAAAGCCCTGCTCTGAATTTTGTTTTGCTTTAACTTTTGGTGCTGGCTTATGCCGGAGGACGCATTTCATGATTGGTGGCTGACACTTAATACCTGTGGGCCCTTCATTACAGCTCTCTTCCTACTTCTTGCTTTCATATTTTTTCTCACTCCATTACTACTTCCTGAAATATGTTTCCTCTTTTACTCTAGATTCTTTCCATTTTTCAAGGCCAAACGCAATTGGCTCCTATTAGTATTTCTCTGGATTCTTATGGTAGCAAACTAGACCACCCAGCTCTTAAGAGCTAGAACCTTGTTTATTATTTTATAATGCCAATATACTGGGATAATGGTATTTCCTTTTTTAAAAATATATATTTTTATTGATTTCGGAGAGGAAGAGAGAGATAGAAACATCAATGATAAGAGAAAATCATTGATTGCCTGCCTCTTGCACACCCCCTACAGGGGATGGAGCCCAAAACCTGGGCATGTGCCCTCGACTGGAATCGAACCTGGAACCCTTCAGTCCGCAAGCCGACGCTCTATCCACTGAGCCAAACCAGCTAGGGCGGTATTTTCTTTTTGATGTTTCTCTCTCTGTCTCCTCTCTTCTCTTCCACTCTCTCTAAAAATCAATGGAAAAATATCCTTGGGTGAGGATTAACAAATTTGTTCAATTTGTATTGATGACAAAACACAATGATGCATAATTTTTAATAAAATCATTTAATTATCTGTTAGAAATAAGTGGTAATAGGTCTTTAAACCAAATATATATTTTAGAGCTATCCTAAAACTGAAAGCTGGATTTAATACTTCATTAAGAGTGTAAATACTCTATGGAAGAAACTTAACAAAGGGATAAATAAAAAATAAGTAGAAATGACAATTTTTGTTTTGCTTATTTTTTTTCTTTTGGAAATAAGTATTTGTTTCCTAAATGGTACTCATTATAGAGTTCAAAAAGTTAAAATGTACATTAAAATCTCTGACTTTGGAAATTATCTTTAGAAAAAGAATAAAATTGCTTTCTTTAAAGATCAAGTATATTTTAAATAACTCATTCATAAAGACAAAAGACTCTTTAATATTTTAGTTTGTTAAAACTTACCCTCATTAAATTACTCACAGTAGTGAAAAAGAATAGTCAGACACTAAAATGCTTTAGTTTAAAGTAACCCCAGGCACTGATGTTGTGCACAGGGTTCACAGTGAGCTCAGACAGGGCCAGATTTGGCCTCTCTTCTTTGACCAGAGCTCTGAAACTACATGCGCTTGCACAGGGGTCTGTGGGAGGTGGGGTGACTCACCCAAGGATGCTCTTATTCATACAAATACATTACAGCACGGCTCTGAGACTCAGACTGAGCTGCCCTTGGGCAAATCAGAAGAGTAGGAGCTTTGTCTGAATTTGGAGACTAAGAAAATAATTCTAAAGAACAGTTGGAACCAGATAAGGCCAAGGAGGGAAGTCCAATATAAAAAAAATTATATGTAACCATTTATTTTTACTTTAAGGGAAACTAAAATGAATTTGCCTTAGCAGAAAAATGGTTGACAATGTTCCGATAAGAAAAGAAGGGATCGTTGATTGTTCTAGTCCTTGACCTTATAGTTTCCTGGCATTCTTTCTCTCTGCATTTTATCAGACTTACATGGTGTAAGGCATAATGGAGGGAATGGACTTGTGTGTTGCACACGCACACATGTCCATTCCCTCCATTGTGCACATGCACACATACATGTAAGAAGAAAGGGAGGAAGAAAGCAACAGAAAAGGGGGGAGTGAAATAAGTTTTGCACACCACCAATTTAAAATGTCTTTCCGTTAATCCTTTCAGGGCTGAAACCCACTCACCCCTCCACCCCCAGCCCCACCCCCACCATTTTTGTATATTTATAGAAAGCATAGAAGTATATTATAGAGCTTGACTATAGTATCAATAAAATATTAAAAGTAATTGGGAAAAAGTTATTTGTAACCTTAAGACTTATATACCAGTATAACAATATTCAATGTCATTTTTAAACTTGAAATAGACATGGAAACTCTAACAGTGAAGGGAAAATGAGCTTAAAACAAAGAACACTTACTTTTGTAGTAACTATGACAAACGCCTTTCACCTGTAGTTATTAGCTCAGCTCTAGTGTCACAGATCATTAGGTAGCAAATGCCATGCGTACTAGGGGGAGAAATCTGAGTGGTGATGCAGAGTAGCCTGTGGCTATTAAGAAAATAAGTGGAGGCTAGAACATGTTATTGGTTCTTCTTAGGTGATGTAAGCTTAGAAGACTAGAAATGTGTCACCAACCCAAGAGAAAAACAAAACACATAATCACACAAGTTTTTTAATATTCCTCAACTAAGTGTATCCACTTCATTACTTGTCATGAGTATACAAATAAGAGCCTAAAGAAAACTGGATTTAGTGGAATGTTAACTCTTAAAAATCAATCTGTGAGTGACTGGATGCAACACAGATTAGAAAGAAAAATTTCAAAATGGTCATAAATTAAATCATGTCACTTGATTATTGAGTTTCCTTGAGTGTTAAATGGCCAGGAGAAGTCCCATCTGAGATGACTCAGTTCCTACCCGAAGCTGACCGGAGCAAAGCTAGACTGCTCAGCTGTTAATAAATACCTTGCCATTTCTTTCTTGTTGTTGTTGATGGAGTTGGGGGAATTTGGCTGTGGCGAGTGCTTCCATAGTCATTTTACCTGTAGCTGTGCTTCAATTTTCAGTAATTTATCTGGCATGAAATGCAGCAAATCCAACCTGTTCCGAATTCCACCAGGAAGGGCTGAGGAAAAAGAGGAGTGATAAGTGAGAGGTTTTGAAAATGCAACTAAACAGTCTTCCCTAGAATAGTTGCTTGGACTCCAGTGCTAAGCCTGGGCTGCTCTTGCAGCAGCAGGGCACATGGTCTTGGGGAAATCCCAGAGTGTTCAGTTTCAGCTCCGGAAGCCATTAACAATGGGAGCCCCTTTAGTTGAGAACAAATGATTTGCAAAGGAGCTATCACATTCTCCATTGTGGATAAGAATCAACGTCAAAAACAAAGATATGCTTTTCTTTTAACTTTCTCATTATCGCAAGTATAAAGAATTACAAAGAGTCCCTGCCTGTCAGGCAAAACACTTAATGCTGCAATGCTCACACATTTGTGTCCTAAATCCTCTATCCTGTATCTCCCCTCAAATTATTTTCCTTCCACTCTATCCTCCACACCAATCAAACATACTCCAAATGTGCTTTTTGAATCTTTATTAAAATTTTCTATGTCAATGGCTGATAACCACATGGAGTTATTCCTCCTATGGCTTTTGAATTTTGCCAGAATCAAAGCCTTACACCAAGAGTTAACAGTCCACTGGTGCAGCATCAACATCCTGCCAGGGCAAAGACAAGGTCTTTGAGCCCAAGGGACAGAAAAATACTTTATTTTTAACGTTATTGATTGGGGAGACTGTTTAACACCAAGTCAGCTCTGAGAGAAACCAGGAGTCAAATCTTCATTTCCAAGAGGAGCAGAGAAGAAAAACCTTTTTGGTAGAATAACTGGAGTCAGGTTGTTTTCACATCGACCAAGGTACCAAGTGATTTTGCGATGACCAGTTTACAGAATTTGAAGACCACAGTCTCTAAGTCCAAGGCAGAGACCACAAAGGTTTTGATGTAAAAAGAACTTGGGGTAGACTGCACTCTCTTACTTCTGGAGATAGCCTAGAAATACAAGTGGATGGTCTTAGTCTTTTGTGTTCCGTGTGTGTGTGTGTGTGTGTGTGTGTGTGTGTGTGTGTGTGTGTTTTGCAGTCCCAGCCTTGCCCCTCTCTAGCTATATGATCTCTTAAAAGTCATTGATTTTTAATTTTATCAAAGTAATTTGAGTACATGTTTTCTATAAGTCAAATAGTCTCATAAAACTTACAATGAAAACCAGCATCCACTGCTGCACACCTCAAGTCCTAGTCCCCAGGGCAAATATGTACAAAAAATTGTAAACTATTTTTGTCTGTCCTCTTCCTCTGTGTTTCTAATTAGTATGGTTATACATCATCTGCTGACTTTAAAGTATGGCAGGTATTTTTTTCTGGCTTATACTCCCCCTGTCCCCTATACTAACAATCACTTCCTATCCCCACCTCCTCCTGATATATGTATACAGCAACTTTTGGTTAAATTCCTATTTAGAGATACTTCATTATAACTGTGTAATTACTGTTTGTTTCTGAGGCCAAGCAGTATAATAGGATCATGTTTCCATTTCTGCATTAGTTTTCATTTTTCTTGAGGTTAATAATTGTCTCTATTTTTCCTTTGCTTAGGTTTCTATATACCTACTAGTATGTCTCATTTTTCTCAAACGTTTCATCATAGCACTGAAGGGGTTCCAGGTACTCTCCTTCCTGCTCCACCCTCTGGGAATGTGCCACTTGGACTTTTGGATTGTTTTGAGCTACAGGCAATCAAGACCCTGCTGGCTCCTGAGAAACTTTTACCTCTCCCTTAAAGAATTTAAAGTAGGGGCCTTGCCCATAATAAGCATCATCACCAACTTTTTGTGCCCTATCTAGAGGGCAGGGCAAACTTCTAATTACTGAACATTTGCTCTTCTTATCACCCTGCAAAAGACCTTCCTCCCCTCTGAAGCCCCAGGGGCCTTACCTCAAAATGGCCTATTATACACCCCATTTTGCCTTTCTGTCTCTGAGCCTCCCATATATGCAGGGTCTCTGGCTCTCTCATGTATGTGGGGTTCCCATACTTATGTATGTAATTAAATGTGGTTATTTTCTCTTGTTAATTTGTTTCATGTACGTTTAATTATTAGACCAGCCAAAAACCCTCAGAGAGTAAAGGAAACTTTCTTCCTCCCTCATACCACACATACAACATATTTCACATGCCCTAACCAGTTTGACTCAGTGGATAGAGCATAGGACTGAAGGGTCCTGGTTTCGATTCCCGTCAAGGGCACATACCTCAATTACAGGCTCGATCAAGGTGTGAGCGGGAGGCAACCAATCGATGTCTTTCTTTCACATCAATGTTTCTCTCTGTCTCTTCCATTCTCTCTGAAAATCAATGGAAAAATATCTTCGGGTGAGGATTAACAATATATATATATAATTTCACAGTATTATTTTCCACATGGTCAAATGCATCAGATAGTCTCATGGTTCCCCTATTTTTTCCTGGAACCTCTTATGTTCTGGGCCTCTCCCTCCAAGCCCTCTCTCACTCTCTCCGGTCTGGACTGTCTGCTCTACCAGGCTGGCTGCATAGCTGCATCACTGTCATGCTGGAACTCTCCTGTGATTCCCTTTTTCACAATCCTATGTTTTCATCTTTCTTGTTTTGTTTTTTTTCTCTATTTTGATGGTACTCATCTCTCAGTAGCTTCCCCCAAAAAAGAGTGAATGGGAAGTAAAGTTTTGATAACAGCTACTTGTTCACCAAAATTTGCTCACCCCTTTCCATAATTTTGGGCTGTCACTGCACATGCCTACCTAGCCAGGGACTTCAAGTCTCAGGGCCCCTTATATCTAGGGAAGGGCATGTGACTAGTTCTCCACAACAGAAAAGTGAACAGAGCTGATGTGTGACAGTTCCAGGCTGGGGACTATAAGATGCAAGTTGGGTGTCTCCATCTTTTTTTCCTTCTTCTGACTGCAAATTAACACCAAAGCCAGCCTTGAAAGGCAGACACTGTATTTGGTGGACTCTTCATCAGCCTGTGTTCTTGAATGGCTAAGTGGCTCAGAGCCCTCACTAACCCTCCCCTGTATTGGACTTTATGTGAGTGAGAAAATTTCTATTGTCTTCACCCACTGAAATTAGGGGATTATTACTTATAGCAGCTACCATTACTTTCACTTGATTAATAATCTGACTAGATAAGAAGTTCTAAATTAAAAATTCTTAGAATTTTAAAAGCATTTTCCATTTAGTGTCTTCTGCTTCTAGTTGTTATTAAATATTATGCTTCTATCCCTGGCCAGTTTGGCTCAGTGGATAGAGCGTTTTGGCCTGTGACTGAAGGGTCCCGAGTTCAATTCCAGTCAAGGGCATGTACTTCAGTTGCAGGCTCGATCCCTGGCCCTGTCAGGTGGTGTGCAGGAAGCAACCAATGGACGTGTCTCTCTCATATTGATGTTTCTCTTTCTCTGTCTCTCTCCCTCCCTTCCACTCTCTAAAAATCAATGGAAAAATATTCTTGGGTGGGGATTAACAAAAAAATATGTATATCTTCCATTTCTATTACTCATTACCCATTTTGTCTTTGTTGTTTGCTTTCTGTGTGTGTGTGTGTGTGTGTGTGTGTATGTGTGTGTGTGTGTCTGTCTGTCTCTGCTTTTTTATTTTGTCTCATTATCCTTGGGGAGACAATTTGCAACAGTTTAGTGTGGGCTTTGGTGTGTGTCTCTGCTTTGGGCTGGGTTGCAAGCCCTTTCAACCTATAGACTCAGATTCTTTCATTATAGGAATATCACATCATTTCTTTGAAAGTACTTCAATGACTTTTTCTTCTTATGTTCTTGGCCTCTGGATGTTAGATATCCTTGACTAATCACATAAACTTATTTCATTCTGTTATATATCTTTTTGTCTTTAATTCTGCTTTCTGGTTAATTGCCATAGGCATAGTCTAAATCTCCCATTAATTTTTTTCACTATCGTATTTTTGATATCTAGAAGTTCATTGCTAGCCTCTAATTGCTTCTTTTTATTCCATCCTGTTCTCTTTCAGGCATATAATACTTTTGCTCATCTCACCAAACATTATAGTTTCTTTTTTATTAAATTAAATTAAATTTTTTATAGTTTCTTTAGAAGTTTTGTTATTAAATATATTTCCACAGAACTCCTAAATTTGCAACCATTACCCAAGTAAACCTCTTCTCATTAAATCATTTTGCATGTCACTTTATCCTGCTTTTCAGTTTATCTTCTCTGCTTATCTCACAGTATCATCTGATGTACTTAGGATCACAGAACCATAGTATGAGTGACTGAAATTTTTAATTGATTCTTGTGTAATTAAAATATTATTTTAAGATACAGGATCCAATCATACTAAATTCTGACTTGTGATTTTTAAGAAATGGGGCTATCTGCCTTGGCTGGGTGGCTCAGTTGGTTGGAGCATCATCCCATGCACCAAAAAGTTGTGGGTTCAACCCTAGTTGGGGCACGTACAAGAGGCAATCAACTGATGTTTCTCTTTCACATCAATGTTTCCCCTGACCTCCTTTTTCCTTCCTCTCTCTCAAATCAATAAAAACATATCCTCAGATGAAAATTAAAAAAATAAAGAAAGAAGGAAATATGGCTACCTTACCTAGCCTTTGAAAAGAGATGTCCAAAAAGGTTTTCATTTATGACAGGCATCTTTTCAAAGGTTCATTCTGCTGAAAATGTTTATCAGAAGGTACCACTCTGGACAAGAATAATACTAACTTTTATTTATTTTTTAAATATATTTTTTATTGTTGTATTACAAATATCTCCCATTTTCCCCTCCTGTACCACCCCTTCTCTCCAGCCCCCCCACCCATGTCTTCACTATCCTATTGCCAATGTCCATGGGCTATGCATATCTATCTATCTATCTACCTATCTAAGCCTAAGCAACCAAACAACCAAACAACCGGTCAATCAGTCACTATGACGCACACTGACCAACAGGAGAGAGACGCTTAATGCACAGGGTTGGGCTCCCTCCTGTCTGGATTGGGCCTGTGGGGATCAGGCCAAAACCGGCTATCTGACATCCCCTGAGGGGTCCCAGATTGTGAG